TCCTGGGCCATCTTTCTTTAGGATATGAACAGACTCGATAATAGCATGACAATTTCAATTTTGTGCTTCTTGACGAATTCCTGAAAATTATTGTGGAAACCCAAATTCCACGTAGTAAGAACTAAGAATTTCTCTAGGTGGTGAAATGTTGATTTTTGACACCCTAATTTTGAGAATTCTATTCATCTTCTAGTAGTGATAGGTAATTGATAGTGATTGATGTTATTGAAATTTGTTATTCGATGTATGCTTACAATTCTACTCGATAACACAGAGGAAATAAGAAGAAAGTGTAATTAAAATACCACAATTCTACGGCCATTTTCTTAATTTATTTATTATTTTAATTTTTTTTTAATAATAAGTTATAAATTCAAAAACATAAATTAGAACAAATAAACAATTTTTATGCCGCTTGAAGATGTAATCTTACAACTCTCCTAGAAAAATAAAGAAAAGAATCAAACCCGTCTTTGTAGCGTGGCATTGAACATTCAAACTCCCGAAAGAATAGGGTACGCAGACATGCCAATCAGTTCTTTTGACATTTTCTTACACGATTGCTACTTCTTTAATTTGCTTGATTTATAAGTTCCTAGATTAATTAATTTTGCTTTAATATTTATTATTGTTTTAGGAGAGCCATGCATGCAAGAATGATGTTTATTATTAATATTAATATTATAAGAAGAAGAATTTAAATGTCTTTTCCGATGTCTAACGACATCGCATCATAGAATATTATTTCTAGTTACACAAGACCGATCGAACTTTATACAGACGTGATAAATATATAGTTGTTCTATTTACGAAATAAGTATGGAGAAGCTTCTTTAGCATGTGTAATGAGAAAAAATTCACGTTGCTCAAACATGAAAATAATGGTCAAGATATAAAGGTGTAGTTACTCGAATATGTTGGGAAGTATTTACGCACTGTTTGAATTGTAAATAGATAACATTGAGTAGTTGATAAGTGGACAGTATCGTTAAGTCCCTCGAAATATATGAATAAAAAGCAACTTATAACACGAGCCAAACATAGGCTTTTCTATTTACTAAGACCATGTTTGGTAGTCTTTAGAGCTTGTTTGGGATGAATTAAAATCCAATTAAAATTAAAAATATAGTAGTTATTGAGTCCCTACAAGTCTAATAAAAGTCAACTCTAACTGCTAGTTTTTCAATTTTAATCTGATTTTAATCTCACTCAAACAAAATCTAATTTAATTTAATTTATTTTTAAACTTATTTCTCATACTCATTTTTAATCACAATTCGAGTTGAGAACTGTCCACTCAATGAATGATTGACACATCATTTTACATTAAAGTGTCATCTAATTTTATGTACAAGTGACCTTGAAAGAAAAATTAGATATATAAATTTAAAATAATGTGTTAAGTATTCATTGATGGATAGCAAATTGGATGGTAAATTTTGGACAACAGATATTGTTGCGTTTTTTATATCGCAAGTGTACGATATCGTAACAAGTAATATAGTTGACAATTGAGTCCGGATTATCGTTCCTACAATAACTACACTTAGAACTTAATCTAATTTTTCTAACTTCTATGTGACAAAAACAAATAAATAATTATGATGACTGTAATTATTTTTAACTAATGAAAAATATAAAATGATTGCAAACAATGAATAATTGAAAATTTAAATATGTGATAAATATTAGGGAATAACAATTTTATCTATTGATCACATTTATTCTTAATTCAAAATTCATAATCTAATGTAGTGTTCTATCGAATTCTTCTATCGTATTCAATTTACTCCACTCGAGTTCTCATTGAGTCTATTTAACTAATCAAATTCTATATCTTTATGCGAATTAATTTTAGTTAAACGAAATACTGGTTCTAAGAATACAAATTATGACCGCAATGATCATTATATGTGTCTCTATACGTTACACTAATTTATCGAATTTTATTGTATGATTTTAATCTCAGATAATAAAACCAACACAAAAATAAATAAATCATAGAAATCTTGAATAAAAAAAATTAAAAGATCACAAGTCGACTAAATTATTTTTCCTAATATAAAAATTAGTTATTCATATTGTAAAAATAAAAACATGCAAAAGTGGAAAGATATCACCAAAAATTGACGAAATGTAAAAATTTCTAGTATTTTTAGTTTCCTTTCCTAAAGAATAGGGTACGCAGACATGCCAATCAGTTCTTTTGACATTTTCTTACACGATTGCTACTTCTTTAATTTGCTTGATTTATAAGTTCCTAGATTAATTAATTTTGCTTTAATATTTATTATTGTTTTAGGAGAGCCATGCATGCAAGAATGATGTTTATTATTAATATTAATATTATAAGAAGAAGAATTTAAATGTCTTTTCCGACGTCTAACGACATCGCATCATAGAATATTATTTCTAGTTACACAAGACCAATCGAACTTTATACAGACGTGATAAATATATAGTTGTTCTATTTACGAAATAAGTATGGAGAAGCTTCTTTAGCATGCGTTATGTGTAAAAATTCACGTTGCTCAAATATGAAAATAATGGTCAAGATATAAAGGTGTAGTTACTCGAATATGTTGGGAAGTATTTACGCACTATTTGAATTGTAAACAGATAACATTGAGTAGTTGATAAGTGGACAGTATCGTTAAGTCCCTCGAAATATATGAATAAAAAGCAACTTATAACACGAGCCAAACATAGGCTTTTTTTTTTTTTTTTTGCATAAAAAGCTTTTGCATTTAAGTTTGTATAACACTATATAATTTGATTTATTTCCTTTTCTTATGTTCAAGAACAACATTGAAATGATTTTCGATAATTTGATTTATTTTATTTTGCATTTAGATGCTTTGTCTTATCGAAAAGAAGGCAACATTTGTTTCTTGGGTAATGGATGTAGTGCAACTAATGCAATTAACCCATTTTTTAATTACTCATTCTTAAAGAAAATTACAAATATATTGTTAAAATAAATCAAACGGGCCTTGTTTTTCTATTTACTAAGACCATGTTTGGTAGTCTTTAGAGCTTGTTTGGGATGAATTAAAATTCAATTAAAATTAAAAATATAGTAGTTATTGAGTCCCTACTCGTCTAATAAAAGTCAACTCTAACTGCTAGTTTTTCAATTTTAATCTGATTTTAATCACACTCAAACAAAATCTAATTTAATTTAATTTATTTTTAAACTTATTTCTCATACTCATTTTTAACCACAATTCGAGTTGAGAACTGTCCACTCAATGAATGATTGACACATCATTTTACATTAAAGTGTCACCTAATTTTATGTACAAGTGACCTTGAAAGAAAAATTAGATATATTAATTTAAATTAATGTGTTAAGTATTCATTGATGGATAGCAAATTGGATGGTAAATTTTGGACAACATATATTGTTGCGTTTTTTATATCGCAAGTGTACGATATCGTAACAAGTAATATAGTGGACAATTGAGTCCGGATTATCGTTCCTACAAGAACTACACTTAGAACTTAATCTAATTTTTCTAACTTCTATGTGACAAAAACAAATAAATAATTATGATGACTGTAATTATTTTTAACTAATAAAAAATATAAAATGATTGCAAACAATAAGCGAGTAAATAATTATGATGCTTCTGATTATTTTTCATAACTAATTTTAATTAATTGAAAATATAAAATGATTGTAAATAATGGATAATTGAAAATTCAAATATGTGATGAATATTAGGGAATAACAATTTTATCTATTGATCACATTTATTCTTAATTCAAAATTCATAATCTAATGTAATGTTCTATCGAATTCTTCTATCGTATTCAATTTACTCCACTCGAGTTCTCATTGAGTCTATTTAACTAATCAAATTCTATATCTTTATGCGAATTAATTTTAGTTAAACGAAACACTGGTTCTAAAAATACAAATTATGACCGCAATAATCAGTATATGTGTCTCTGTACGTTACACTAATTTATCGAATTTTATTGTATGATTTTAATCTTAGATAATAAAACCAACACAAAAATAAATAAATCACAGAAATCTTGAATAAAAAAATTAAAGGATCACAAGTCGATTAAATTGTTTTCCCTAATATAAAAAATAGTTATTCATATTATAAAAATAAAAATTCGCAAAAGTGAAAAAAAATTACCAAAAATTGATTAAACGTGAAATTTCTAATATTTATAATTTCCTTCTTTTTTTATTCTTTCTCTCTTCCCTTTTCCTCTTTTTCTGTTGCTTTGACTTTCCTTCCCTTTTCCTCTTTTTCTTTTCTCTTTTTCTGTTGTTTTGACCTTCCATCCCTTTTCCTCCGTTTTTCTTTTCTTTCTCTCTTTCTTTCTTTCATCTTTTTCCTGGCTTTTTTTTTTCTGCACTTCTTCAACCCATTTAATATATTATTTCTCTCCAAGTAATTCATCTTTAAATTTTGTCATTTTTTATCACTTTTACATTCTTTTCTCCAATTTTTCATTAAACATAAAATTTTACCAACAAAACACAATATAGCATAAATTTGATAGAATTTATTCAAAAAGACAATAAAATATCATAATTTAGGATCACGAATAAGTGTATAAACTACGCTTCTCAAATATCATTTATAAAATAAAATATTTAACGTGGAAACTTAAAAAATTTTACTACTTTCTTATGATGTATTTTTCAAAAAATACTATTCAAAAAATAATTTTTTCAAATTAAAGTCTCACTTCTACACTCATTTGACATTAGACGCCGTCAGGTGACGACTTTTGGTTGAGTGATTGTCCAGTCGCCCCACCTCCCTCCTTAACTACCGCTTGGAAAATTCTTCTTCCAACACTGTACGAGAATATGAAAACACCACCACCCCACCCACCCATTCCCACTCTTTTTTCTCTCTATATCTGCATATACAGAAGCATAGATTTCTGTATAATTGTGTGTTTATAGGCACAGGCCCAGCAATTGTCGTAGTTCATCTAATTCATTGTGGACATTTATTGGTTCAAACATGGATTCTAACCATATTTGTCTTTTGATTTTAGTGACTCTATCGAGTGCTTTGAGCAGTGAAGGATTTGGGACTTTCGGGTTTGATATACACCCAAGGTATTCGGATCCTGTTAAAGATTTTTTGAACATTGATGGGTTGCCGGAAAAGGGTTCACTCGATTACTACGCCGCCATGGCCCACCGCGATCAGCTCATCAAGGCTCACCGCCTCGCCGTCACCCCAGCTGATTCCACCCACCTCAGTTTCATCGGTAGCAACGAGACTTACAGACTCAGTTCTCTCGGATTGTACGTTTTCTCTGTTATTTTGCTTCTAGTTTCTGTATTAATCAATTTCATGGTTAATAATTTGGTGGTATTATTTGTTTGTTTAGTCTTATTTAATTTTAGTTATAGCGATGAAAAGGGATTTTTTCGGCGCTGGTATAGTTTAGGCTATGTAGAAAACACCATGGCTGAATTCCTTTTCTATGAAAGGCAATAGCACTCAGCTAGAAATCAACCATCTTGTGTAAGAGCTTGAGCTATTACAGTGAGATGCATTTATTTATTTATCTTTAGTCTTCAACATGCCCCTTCACGAGAATTCGGAATTCATTCTTTATCAAAAACTTGCTAACACTAGCACAAATTTTCATGAATTCTCTTGCTAAACACTTTTAGCTTGAATGGAGAGAGGGAGGGGCTGTTGGGGCCTCCCTCGTATCTTGTATCCTATCTGTGACGTGAGAAATCAATTAAGGGTGATCCTGCAATGTGTACATACCTCATGAAGATAAGAGTTCATGCTACAAGTTTCTGTCTGTATCTTCTAAGCTTAAACTGTAATAAAACCTAATAAATGCTTGTCCAGTCATTTCTTGTCTAAAACTACCAAATTCTCATCCAATCATTGTATTGTATTCTCATTCTTCTTGTTGAGAAAGATATTGATATTCATCTCACAAATGATTTTTGCATCTCTCTCTCTCTCATGAGCTGTGCTTACACACTTCTTAGGTTTAGGCATTTAGCATTTTTGCTAACAAAATGCTACTGAAGTGCATAATTGCTTTCAAAAACTAAAAACACACGGTAACCATATCATTTTTATTTTCTTTGTTAACATAATATTTGTTCCTGTAAATTGCAGCTTGCATTATGCAATTGTTACTGTAGGCACCCCTGCTTTAACATTTATTGTGGCACTTGACACCGGCAGCAATCTGTTCTGGTTACCATGTGATTGTACCAGCTGTGCACGTAGCTTGAACACAACCTCGGGAAAGGTACGTTAATTTACTGAAAATATGTTATATTCTTGTGTGCACATATAGTTTGCTTTATAGTGTACACTAAGAACTTATTCTAAGTATTATGTCACTATTAGACTATAATTCATTCTTTAATATATATAATTTTCTTGTCAAACAGAGATGTGTCTTCTTACTTTCATTTAATTTTCTTTTCTGAAACAGCCTTTAAAACTGAATATATACAGCCCTAGTAAGTCATCGACAAGCGTACCTGTTCCGTGCAACAGTACTGCATGTGGAGAGGAAAGACGATGCTCAGTCACACATAAGGCTTGTGCTTATCAAGCAGTGTATCTTTCCGGCAACACCTCAACTAGTGGGATATTGGTGGATGATGTTTTGCACTTGGCTACAGATGATAGTCAAGAAAAAGTCGTTGATGCCCCGATTACATTAGGGTGAGTAATGTCATTTTTATGAAAACTAATTCCCTAGTAAAATGTTGTATCTTCAATGTTTACATAACAAAATGTGTTAATTTATTAATGTGAATTCTCATATAATTTGTGAGTAAAACTGCATTCTTTAAATTTTCTCGAACTTTTAACATCTGTGTAGTGTATTACATTGCTGTATAATGTAGTCTTATTACCTTTTGCCATTTCAGCTGTGGAATTATTCAAACTGGTGATTTTTTGATTGGTGCGGCTCCTAATGGTCTATTTGGGCTTGGTATGGATAGCTTATCCATCCCTAGCATTCTAGCGAGCAAAGGGCTTGCAGCAAATTCTTTCTCCATGTGTTTCGGTCCTGATGGAATTGGAAGAATGGTTTTTGGTGACAAAGGGACTCCAGCCCAGAAAACAACACCATTCAATCTTCAACAATCACAGTAAGCTTTTTCAGTCTTTCCTTGCTTAATATGGACCGAATTCTGCTTTTCATTATTATTCCATTCCCCTTCTTAATCCTCTTCCAAAATTATTTTCCGGGTTTTCTACCAGCACAACTTATAATATCACTGTGACACAAATAATTGTGGGAGAGAACACTACGAATCTTGAGTTTACAGCAATCTTCGACTCGGGCACCTCATTTACATACTTGAATGCGAGTTACTCATTTATTGCTAAGGGGGTAAGTTGATAAGATTTATGATCTTTTCCTGTATGTTGTATCGATTACCTGTATAAGTCTGAATTTTTTTTCTTCTCTTGCAGTTTGATTCTCAAGTATCCGAGCCACGTTATCAACCGGAAACCCAGATCATTTTTGACTATTGCTATGAATTGAGGTGATTTTGGCTACAATCCATATGTCGACCACTCTCTTTTATTATGAACTTGAAGGACTAAATATCACTCTTGCTGCAGTGCAAACCAAGAAAGCTTCAACACTCCTGATTTGAACTTGACTATGAAAGGCGGAGACCAATTTTATGTTAAGGCACCAATAATTGTAATTCCTCGCCAGGTGAGGTTCTACTAGTGGATCAATGTATGGAATTCCATGAGGGATGTACTAACATCTTCTTATAACCTGCAGGGTGGATATGCATACTGTTTGGCTATTGTCAAAAGCCAAGATATTGACATCATTGGACGTGAGTATCTTGATTATGTATTCATTCTTTGCAATATTTCGATTTTTTAGCCAGCCTGAATTTCGTTTTCTGTCATTGCCATTTTGATATGGGTTTTTAACTCGTTAGCCATCTTTAAATATAAAAAAGAGTTGAAGGTAATGTACCAGAAGAAAGAAGAGAGCAGGTAATTAAGTTTGGATAGAATATTCTATGGGCTAGCGGATAATCTATTTGTTTATTTTCTTTGTCGGGTTCCTTCCCAGTATAATATAGCCCCTGTTTGGTGGCCATTTTTTTGGAAAAACATTGTTTTGAATAGTGAATTTTTTGAAAAATGCTTGATTAAAAAGTAAGAAAAATTTTGAGCTTACGTGTAGAGTATTTTATTATGTTGAAAACCGGGCCAAATAATAAAGATGAAAATAATATGAGCAATATAAAAATGATGGATCACAAAGAAAACAAGATTTACGTGGAAATCCAATTTCGGGAAAAACCTCGGGCAGAGACCGAGAATTCACTATAATCAATAGTAAAAAGTACAAGGGATCTCTCTGAACCAAACTAATAAGTTGGACGATTGGTCAATCACAATATGTGTTGTATATCAAATATTTATAATCAAAGAATCCCCATCACACTAGAAGAATATAATAGAAACAAGAGTCTGACATAAGGTGAAATCATATCACAAGAGGTAATACCAATGACGGAGTATTTGAGGTTAAACACTGTTTTGACTCCTTATAGTCTTTTACTTCTTCAAGATTTATCCAAATCAAACATTCAACTTCAAATATACTCCAAAACATAATTCGGGTCAACTGATATTTTAATAGTGTGAATGTGTAGTTGAAAATGAGTATGTATAGAAAAGAGTTTTGAAATAATCTCAACATGACTCATTCTCGTTGTAATACTATCTTGTTTATAATTGAAATAATGCATATATAGCACACGGTTGGAAATTTAACTTGGGTATCTTCTGGAGGAATTTGATTCAGAATTACATAATCCGATTTTAGAACTAACTTATATCATCATTGGTTTTTACCATCTGTTCTGATATTTATTTGCTAGTTGTATATATAACTTATAATTGGATCGTTCATTCCTGCCCAGAGAATTTTATGACTGGCTACCGCATAGTTTTTGATCGTGAGGAAATGGTTTTGGGCTGGACAGATTCCGACTGTGAGTAGTCTCTTATCGTCTTGTTCAATTTTTATTACGTGACTGAAAGCATGTGCGAAAGTTTTTACGAGTTTATTTCCATGGTCATGCACTTCGAGTTGAAATGCATATTGTTGATCTCAGGTTATGATTCCAATCCATCCAAGAATGTATCAAATATTCTACCAGTAAACAAGAATAACTCGGCCGAAGCTCCTTCACCTTCTATTTTGGACCCACAAGACACAATTGGGAATAAAACTCATTCTCCAGATTCAGCTCCTCCACCATCGTCCCCAACTGTTCCGACCCGACCACTTATTGGAAACAGTGCAACCCGCTTGACTTCCATTTCATGCAAGCTTGTGATGGCCATTTTTATCCATTATTTGATCATTCATTTTTCTTGAGGTCTTATCACCCCTTGTATATTTACATGAGCAACGTTTGTTTACCATACATCACACGTAATTTAGTAGTATTATGCCACTTTCCTTTTTATGTACTATGATGGAGATTGTAATGACTGTAGTTCGACTATTTGTCAAAATTGAGCACTTATTTTAGGTATAGAAATAAAAAGAGATTGTGATATACTTTTGTATACTTTATCACTCAAGACTAAAGCTTACATAGAAGTTTATCGGCAAAGAAAATCTCATTTTGATAGCATATCCTCGTGTTAATCAGGCATATACAAGTCTTTTTCATATTATTATTCTCATAAGAAGGTCATTTGAAAATACAGTGAAACACCAATCTTGAAAACTTGATGATTTCCTACAGATTTAGAACTATGGCACGAAAATTGAAAATAAATAAACAAAAATATAAAAGATGAACAAAGATAAAAGTAACTAGGCAGACACCACCAGAATGCAAGAGTCTAGTGTAAGGGACAAAAGATGGTAAAATCATGATCATCAGTATGCTCAATTCCCACTTTTAGAGCCTAGCTGGTTCTTTCAACCAATCTGCTGCTAATCCGGTCATATAATCCTTCCAGCGTTGTCTATCTGCAAGAGAAAGCACAAATATTCGAACATTTTAGGATCAGTACAATTTATAATATGTGGCCATTGAATGAATAGCATGTCCCCAGTTCCGGGATAAGAACAAGTAAAATTTTCCATAAGCTTTACAGGATATAGTTAGAATGACTAGAACTATAGCTTATGCACCACGACATGAGTATAATCCAGATGACATTTGAGCAAAAGAAAAAAGAAAAGAACATATTTTATACAATGTGAAAGCATTGATACTCGATGAACATGTTAAAAGTTTCATGTGTGCATATCAAGCAGGACACTGAGTTATATGAAAAAATAAACGGAAAAGTGAATGGGAATAATTCAGATAAGTTCTTTTCAACATACCAAGTCGAGTTTTTTGGACCAGAGAAAACTCAAAACAATTCAGAAACTACTTGATTGTCTTTTCGTCGCAACTCCTTCAAAAATCCCATCAATTCCGAAAACAGCTTTTACTTGCCGATGATCAATTGCCCCTGGTAGCTGGAATGAGATGGAGAATTCACCAGGTGGACACAAATTTTGTGATAGCATTATAAATACCATGTTCTTCTTCTGAATTGTTTGTTGGCCGGTTGATGTAATACCCTTAATCATTACTTTCCCATCAGGTTCAAAATCACAAGTGAAAGTGTCTGCAGTAACAGAGTGAATAATAGCATGAATGAACGTCAGTGTATAAGAGATTTACTTTTCACATGCTACTTAAAAAGAAATAGTTAGAAGATAATATCTGTAACTTCAAAAACATTTCAATTCTTCACAACATAAAAGGCAGATATCGCCATATTGGTAAATATAAGTAGCTTCATCAATTCAGAAACACGTGTGATTTCAATACTATGCAATATAAACATCATAAATCATCTCTCAATCGTATAAAGGTGCTGGCCTTTCATCATTGATAGTATACTGTACCAGATGCATGAGGATAAGCTTTAGACTCAAAAGGATCTCAGATACAAACTCAAATTCCCGGCATATGTCAGGCATAGCTGCATAAGTTATCTTATCACAACTAGAATGCAACACACTTCAATCAGGTTGATGTAAGCGACAGATTTAAGCCTATTCTATGATAGATAAACAAAGCTAAAATACAAAATACTGAACTGCTATATAGTCATCATGCCCTTATGAGATATAAGGTGGGGTAGCAACTAATGCATAACAGATTAGTAACAATAATGCCAGCATATTCTCGGTTTTATAACATTGCATCACAAATATATTATTCATGTTTATTCCTGATTTCTGATTATCACATCTAAGGATTTGGGTTTTTCTGGCCATAAATAATCGAATATTCTTGGGCTTCTAGTAGTTCTTTAAGGTTAATTTATAGGACCTAGATAACTTTTGTTTGTTTCCTTAGTCCTTCAGAAGTTCTTCATATCAAATGGCGAAATACAATTAATGGAAGAGATATCCATCCTCATGCGAATCTGATGAAGTAATCCAGGCAAAAGAACCACCATCTTTATAGCCCATTGGGATGAGAAGAATAGTACTCTACCCACAAGCAATATCTAGTGAAGTACTTACGGCCAAAGATTCAGCATTGCTCTGACCCAAATAGACCAGGAAATAACCAATGTAGAACATGTCAATGAGATCAACAGAGATTGTCAATCTTCGTGATCTTCGTCAATCTCTTCGATCTCATCGACAGAACATATTCATAATTTTTACGTTTTTTACTACTACAAAACTCCCCAAAATTGTGTTTGCAACAAATCCATAGAAGTGAATGGGAAGATAACAGGTTCTCCCAACAACAAACAATTTTATCTAGATCCTCAAGCAAAACTGGAAAGCAAGAACGAGAGCAAATGTGTTTTACTCCTTAACAAACACATAACACAACTACCAGGGGATAAACTCTTAAGACGTCTCCTCTTCTCTGACTGTCATTGGTGTCAATTTTGTCAAGAACAAAAGACCAAGTTCATGCTTTTACCTTGGAAGGGATTCTAGATTACCATATGGATGACGTCATAGAAAAAGAAAGGAGAAAATGATTTGCAGGAAACAAGTAACTACACTGTCTAGGGTCCAAGTTCTATAGTATGGGAAAGGCGCAAGATTAAAGGACTATCCTTCTACAGCCTTGGATCATTATTTTTACAATAACTTAGTTCATAACTTCAAATAAGAACAATCTTAACTTCATTTTTTACAATATTTACGTCCTTCAATGTTTTATTGTGACTGTGTTTCAACTTTCCCAGTACATAACACAAATATCATGGGATAAACGCTTACGGGGTATACTCTTCTTTAACAAGTCATTGGTGTCACTTTTTTCAATAAATATAAATCAAGTAAATGCTTTTACCTGGAAGTGGTTTTAGATTTTTATATGGAGAAGATGAGTGGGAAGTGGGACTAAATCACATATGAGAATAATCACTTACAAGAAAAACTACCGAAACTATAGAAGAATAACTACTTACAAGAAAAATATTGAAACTATATTAAGTCCAAGTACTACGGTTTGGTAAAAAAGAAAGATAAAAGCACTCTAAGATACACTGACACCCTCCCGGCGAGTCGGTGTCCAACAAGCATTGGAAATTGACACGACAACAACAGGTCGTCGACACTTTATCGATACATCGTTGACATGCCAGAATTAGAAAAAAAAATTACTTTACAATATAAAAATTTATATTATTTAATTAGCATGTTGGGAATGCATTAGGTCGGTACTCTTTTGAAAAATTGCATGTTGTGTCTTGGTGACACTCATGCCAGCATAGGTCTTCCTAGAAAGCACTATGTCATCTATAATGCAAAAGACATATATATGATTTTAACAATAGTTCATGAGTTCAAATAATAAAGATCTTTTGAGAGAATTTTCTTACATTTTTATGATATCTTAGTCCTTAAAAACAAACACATGTACTTTAATGTTAACTTTGTTGAGAACCAACAAGATTATGGCACCACTTGGGGTTCATGTTTATGATATTATATAAATTTGAAATGTTGGAGCATATTCACATATATGATATTTATCACATGGTTAGGAGTCCACCTATATAAAAGATATCCCATTCTTTAAAGTAAGAGACAAGTGACAATTTGGCATTATGTACACAAGTATCAGATGAAAAAAATTAACCATGCTATTTTGTTTGGTTCATTCATAGGGACCCCCTTCTAAATCTCCTTTTTATTAATATTTAATTTTGGCACAAAATCTCCACTCATTGCAGGACTATATTTCCTATTCACGTTATCTTATTTGAATGTTGAGTTATCGTGGATACTATCGAAAAACCTAAAATGATTTCACTCAATTTCCTTCAACCTCTTGAAGAACTACATGATAACCAAAGTTGTACTGTGCTTTGATTCTCATAGTTCAAGTTTTAATACTTCAATGAATAATATGTATGCAACTTGAGATGAGATTGATCACTCAGGTTCGGGTACATATGCATTGACAATATAGAGTTTAAGAACAAAATGGGGAACAGAAGTGATTTAATTCGGTTTCTTATATATTAGATGCATTATTACATGTATCAATATCATTCACTAATTCCCTAAAAGAAAACAAAAGAAGCATAATCAGCAGTGGGAAAAGATGACAGTTCGACTCCTACAAGATACTAGAATATGATTGAAAAGATGTTAGTCAGACACGAAACTTACTTTCAACCCTTGAGACGCCTGGTAGTGCTACACGAAATATATATTTATCCTCAGATTCACCAACATCTACAGCTCCTATAGGTGGTCCCATCTTTCCCGATGCAGCACTCCCAGATAGTACAATTCCACTTCTGGTAGCAGCTAAAATGTTGCTCCACTCTTCATTAGTTGTACAAGAAGGCATAAATACCATAGCAGGGTGGTTACCAATGGGAGGCCTGGAATTAACTTGTAGGGATGGAATGCCATCTATATCTATTGGTGTTGAAGTGGAGCCTGGAGGTGGACCAGAGTATGGAACACAATTAAGAGGAGGCACATCAAGTACATGAAACTGACGGCGTAATGGCCTTGTGCCATTATTTGTATTATTTTGTGTCCAAGATGAGTGAGGAGCCCTGAAAATTCAGTTAAAGGCATGATAAATAAGAATACATGGGAAAAATACAATGACTCCAAAAGAAACTTCTTACTTTCCAAATAAACATTTATTAATCAATAAATATTATCATATCACCGATACAGATATGAACAAAGATATTCAACACAAGCATGGAGTGTAGCACAGAAAGTAATTTATACAATACGCCCTTAGATTCATCATGTAGCTTGGAACAAAGCTCCAGCTTAGGACTGCACATGACTTAATTCAACATTCAATATGTTGCTATACAAGATAATGAGACACTCTTCAAAGTTTCCCTGGACTGATTGGACTAAAATACTTGCAACAAGAGGAGATTAGATGTGTGTTGTCGTCCTAAATACTAGACGATCTGAATAATGGAAGAACAAATGCTGAAATACGAGATCAGACGAAGGGATATGAGTGCAATTAGAAGCTCAAACATGCGAAGGTAGAGAATGACATTTGGAGCAGAGTTGAATAAATAATGAAGTTTTTTCACCTCCACGAAACGTGGTTTCCATATTAGATCATTCACTTAGTAATGCATGGATTTCATGGGAGTAAGCCTATGTTTGGCTTATGATTATAAATTGTTTATAACATTTAAGCCACTCGAGGTAGCCACATGTACTACCCACTTAAACACCAATCATTTCTATCTATCTATAATTTAAGCCATTTACAAACACTTCACAAACATGCTCTAAATCTTACTTTAAAAATTTGTTGGCTGCCTTCTGAGACTTCAGAAGACCAAAGACCCCACATTGAACAAGTGATAGAATAATACACAACCGCAACTCTGTTCCTTGTAATGGAACATGAATTGCATAGTAACATTGAATAGCATTCAATTCAAGAAAAAACTATATCCAGATTATTGTTAGTGCTTTCATTGTCAAATTTATTTATTTTTTTTGGAAATTTTTTAACATACATAAGCCAAGCAGTGTGGTTGATTTTGTGACGACTGAAGAGAGAAGTAAAGCGCAAAGTTTGAATATGTCATACGTACAAGTCATATTCCTAAAAAAGAAATATCATTTCATACCCTTTTTCTTTAGCAGCCGCAGAGATCATTAAGTAATATCTACGTAGTCGTTTGAGCTGTGATTTTGAGAGCTAAACTCTGTTAAATCTACCTATTGAGAGCTTATAGTAAGCTAAACAAGGCAAAGTAAGTATTCTTGGATGCTTCGATGCTTCAAGGGTATATGAAACAATCTTAGAAGAAGAGCTTTAGCTGTTGTTGTTTTGTCATTGGCTGATGGTACGATTCGTCGCTAATTGTAATTTCTCAAACAGGTGCTCTGAAGAGTGAATGTAGGATCAGCTAATCTGAACACTGTAAGAGCATGTTCCATTGGGGCTTATTTGGAGCTTATAAAAGGTTTGAAGTCACGAGCCTAAAATCACAAACATTTATATGAACACATTTACAAGCAAATGCATTAACAAACACAAATGACTACACCCAATACATGAACAAACAGGAAATCTACACTCCAAAAAAAAAAAAAAAAACCAAAAAAA